CTGTTGTGTGCCGCGGACATTATGAAAAAATACACAGAACTACAAAATTTCACTTTTAAAAAAAAACTGATCGGAAATATCCATTCATTTCAAGAGTGGGATTTAAACAATCTTAGAAGAAACTTAAGAATAAAGCTTGAGATGAAACTTTTGTCCATTGCCGCCATGCGGGCTTGGACTGAATCTAAGATTCCATTGATACAATTCACTGTAAAATCTCAGAAAGTCGGCTTATATTAAGATTAAAAATATTCGTTGTTATGTTTAACATCCATTGCTGGAAAAGTTGCAGATAAGATTTGCCGACGGCTACAATTGAAAAATTAGAATTAGGTTTTACACAAACAGACAGAAGAACATGCTCTAGCCAGAACTTGATACTGATCAAAAATAAATTTATCTTTTACAGCCTTTGTAAAGCCTACGTTAGTTTAATACATGGATAATATTTTTCTCTAATACCTGTAGATAGTACCAAATAAATTCTTAGTTAGAAGGGCTACATAAGCGGCGCAAACATACCATTAATTTAAAGAGTAACATGAACCAATAAAACACGTGTATTTATTTCTCTCCTGCGAATTTTGGATGGCTGTGTGTAATACATGTCTGATTTATAAATATTTGAATATGCCTTGTTACCTGGCCGTCACCACTGTAAACCTTCAAATAATTTTTGTATATATACACATCAAGTTTTTGGAAATTTTATTAATCTTTTTTTTTTTAATGTGAAAGACTGGATAATGGATTAAATTTGACATCACTTCAATATTAACCAGCGTTTCCGTTTTTCGTTCACATTGTTATCATATACATAGTTGGCAGGTCCAATGTACGTCCTTGGTCGAAGGAAGCAGTATAAAAGTGAAAATCTTTGTCACAAAGAATTTGCGTAAGGCTAATTTTTCTTTGTAACGTTTCGCTATTTCCAAGCTCTTCGAGAACGATTAGACACTCTTTTTTTTCTTTTTAAATCTTCACTTTAAAAAGTACAAAGGGAACTAAGCGAACTCTGGTCATCTTCTACTGTATAATGGCTTACATCGTCAATCAAGCAAGCATCTGTTTCGCTTTTTAGGTCGGCTTGTACTGGTGCTGAATATGTCGATGTGGTATTACGGAACCTCGTGACGTCGGACTGCCTTTTCTTATTCTTACTTCAGTCTTAATATCCTAGGATTCCCAGTTGCAATAATAATTTTAACAAGTAAGAAAGTTACATTCGGCGGCGGCCAAATCTCGCATACCCACCACTGTGTTTTTCGCAGTCTACTTTCCAAGTTCCTTTATTTGATATCCATATCGCTGATAGTATTAAAAAAAAAATTAAACCACCAGGTCGCATTCATTTTTTTTATTCACTTTAAAATTATCCCATTTTTAGACAATATATCTTCATTTGAGGAGTGTTTTGTTTGCCTGATGATAAAAAAGCATAAAATCTCAAAAAGGTGAAAAAACAAAATTTAATCACTTGTAACTTGGTGTCGACATTATTATGTTATGTTTTCCATTTTTGCACTTGAGGAATACAGTGCTTCGTAAAGTAAACGTTGAAATTTTCAGCCTGCTAATTTTTACAATTTCCAAGGAAGTAGCAAACCTAATCAAAAAATTTTTGTTAAAAAAAACGGTGTTGCGTTCAATTTACGCTCCGATTTCGGACATTGTCAATACCAACCTGCTCTCTGAAGCGTCCTTTCGGGTGTTAAATATATTATGGAAAAAAACAAAACGAGTATACCCCCATCTTTCAGTGGTGGGTATAAAAATGTTCTAACAATATATACCTTATATGTTATAATAAATGATTATTTCACTAGCCGTTACCAACAGCCAACAGAAATTTTGCATAAAGCTGTGTTAAAATTACGCCATAGTCTTGGGCAAGCTGATAAAGATTTAATTATTATGTTTTAAGACTCTGAATACCAATGTTCATACTTTGCTAGGAGTTTAATCAATTTTTCTGTGATAGGGAATTATGTGCTCTAAGATGGTTACCTCTCTGGCAGCTGCAAAAAATAGTTGGTGAACATTTTTTACCTAAAAATAAATTTAATTAATTGATTTAAGACAGAGTGAATGCCACAAATGCGAAGCATGCACACAAAAGAAACAACCATTAACAACCGCAGAAGCTATCAACAATGTTCACACCCACTTGAAGCGCAAAATGTAGCTGCAAACGTGAAAGAAGAAAAAACAGGAAATTAATAAACAAAACGCGGATCGTGCACAATCGCTTTGCTATTTAGTTTATCATGTGCGCGCATGTGGAGAACAACTAAAAAAAGTAGGTACATGGTGAAGCGAATAACTCCATCAATTCAAAGGAATGTATTGTAACGAGCGAAATATGTAGGTACCAGGGAGTCGTGTCAATTGGCCGGTTGGTGACAATGATATACTTACATCAAATCCTAAATTGAGACGTTTTCATAAGTTATAATTTTATGGTTCTATTGGACCGAATTTTTACGCCATTTTCTTTTGCAGTTATAATTTCCTTTTAATTATTGAAATCTCTTTTTAAAGTTGTTATATGGGCATTACCTGAAAGTATAAAAGTTCCCATTTTTCACAAAAAGACAAGGGACGGATTGCCGTAGAATTGGATATAACTTAAAACGATTTAGAGTCGAAATCTGATATTCTCGTTCATGATATGACTCGGCAGGTTCAAAGCACTGAGAAACACATCGACCACAATATGGTAAGGCGTAAATACTAAGGAAACCATTACTGTGTTGTAAACTAGTAGATATTAATGCTTATCGATATTCGCTTGCCAAGAATATAAATGCTTTATGCGGACTTGGCACCAGAATGAATAGAGCAGCAATAAATGATATTGTCGCAAGATGTTAGGTAAAAGTTTCAGAAGTATTTTGTTCCATTCTAATTTTATTCATTAGTATAATAAGTAAAAACTCAGTTGCTGATGTTAGAATTGAAAGTGGGATGGAATTTTGCTTCAAAATCCCCCTTGACTAATGAAAAAATTTGTTTAACGAACAAAAATACCAAAAGAAAAATATGCGACTCATAATCCACTTATACAAGGCTTTATTTAAAAAAAAACAGTGAAGTTGTTTTCAGCTCAAAAAAGTGCACTAGTTTCACACTCGTCTGAAGAAATTGGATATGTTCCACCGCTGATTGTGTTTGTTGCCTGGTTGCCGTTGTAGTGACACCGCTCAAAATTAAATGTTCTTTTATTTAGTGGATTATTTTAAAGTCTTTATTTGTTACTTTTCTTTTAGATACTTGCTTATATTCTGACTTGACTGAGGTATGGTCAGGTGTCTTATATAACTAATAATTTAATGCTAACTTAAGCGAATAATATAATTAAAATAGGTTATTGCTAGAATTACGAGTAATATGGGTTACAACTAAATTAGGCTATCTTAACTAGGTTAGGTGTCACATTTGGAATGTAATAAGATGTAAACTTAGCAATAACTTGTAAAAGCGGTAGAGTGCGACAGATCGATAATGCTACACCGTAAATAGAATTAGTTTAAAAGACTAAGACAGTCAACAGCAATTGTTCTCCTCTATTTGGTAGACGTCCATTCATGTAACCGTTGCAACGATGACCAAAACCGCGTCGACGTTGTTTCGTCTGGCGTATGTAGTCCTGTACTTTCAATTTTGTATATTTTGTTAACAGCAGTAACAGTAGTAACGCTAACCTAAGAACATTAGCGTACGGCGTCCTATCATTTACTATACCTTCAGGTTGCAAATATTCTTTGGCATTTTCATACAAAAAAAATATCTTATGGGGTTGAAGGGACAACGAAAAATTGAAGGCAACATGTTGAAAGAATATCTTGTATTTATTACATTACATTTCTTTGTAAAATTTTTAGATGATCATATTGTGACTGCACCTCCTATTTTGTTGAGTTTGAATGTTGACAAATGACTGAATAAGTAACTGAAAGTCTGATAAATGAAGTGCCACAAGATTGTCTAGCTTGCTTGCTTTGTGTTGGTTGAATGCTTATTAAGAGTGAACGGCTTAAATTTATGTACACAAAAGCATGCACGTGTACAAAAGCACGCCTTCTCTAAAAGAAAAACAACATAAAGCGCTTGAAAAGGAGGCAAGAATGGGGGAGGCCAGCAAGTATTGCATAAATCTATTTACTTGCACTATAATTATGTTGTTCCGAAGGCAATCTAACGAACGCTATTGCCAATTTACGGTTATATTATATTTGTGCCGTCAAGCGAACAATTGAAAGCATTATAAAACAATCCACACTCTAATGAAAGGATGCCTATAAGTAAACTATTCAAATGTTGATTACGCTCCTTTTTTTAGGAACTGGGCATATCTGACACCAGATTTTTTAAAATATAGAAATAAACAACCAAAAAAATTATCGTCGTAGCCGAGTCTTTTTTACCCGAAAACAAGCAAAACAAGTAAAAGAATTTAATTTTTATGCTTTGTAACATGGAGTAGGTGAGACTGATTTTTTCGTTTTCAAAACAAAAGTTTTTGTTGTATGGGCATGTGGGCATTATAGGCGCGCCTTTAAAAACGTTGAGTCATTCTGATGTTCTTTTGCAAAATTGTAGACTGTTTACTTTCGCTAACAGGAGAATGTCCAGCACAGAGCCTACGGATCCAGATGGAATTCGAATTTAAAACTGGCTGTTCAGACGAAACCGTGAATGGCAATACCATTTCGTTGTTCTTTTTTGTTTACTTCTCTTACTTTATTACATTTATGGTTTTTAAATAAAATATATTACTATTGTTGCCTTTTGCTTTGTCATGTAAAGTAGTCTTTTTTAGCGCTCCTACCTTCATCATCTTAAAGAGAAAAAGTTTGTTTAAAATATCATAGTTAAAAATATTATACTCGCTCTCTCATAAGCAAGCAACTTGCACTACCATTTTTTGGAGGCCCCAGAGATATAAGTATCTTAAACAATTTGCATAATAATTACGTCAATTAACCACGTGTTTTTTCATGGATGATCAAACGGAATTAAAAACTGGAGTTGATGCCGTGCAATGTCCCAGCAAAAAACTTGATAAAGCGCTATTAGCTTTAAAGGTCCGTCGTACGGTGACCGAACAGCAAATTGACCGTGTCAATGAGTTTGCAAAACGTATGCAAGAAGATTCAAGTGGCGTTTCTTTAGGTGAATTAAATATAAGGCTCAAAGCTTTAGACAATGCTTTTGATGCTTTCAACAAAGTACAAACAAAAATTGAAGAAAAAGATTTTGATGAAATCTCTTAACCAAATAGATCAAAATATGAAGAATTATATTACTGTATAGCAACGACGTTAAAAGTGTGCATATCAAGACTCAACAATTCAGATTCGAACCAAACAATTCATCTTTCCATGCGGTATTATCTGATGAAAAATACGACACTGTAAAATTGCCAAAAATTGAATTGTTAATAGGGTGGCAATCATTCAACAAGTTTCAACACGCTCGCAGTGGAGACATGTTCCATCCAATTTAAACCCAGCTGATATATTATCTCGTGGTGTGTTACCAGCTGAATTAATGCATTCAACATTTTGGTTTCACGGGCCAAATTTTTTAACGTTAACTTCGTCTATTTGGCCACAATTTCCATACAATTTAAAATACGATGATAACATATTAGAAAGAAAAACTATAAAGATGATATTAATAACAACAATTTCACAACAACATGATTTAATCATTAGTATTAAAGTTCACAACGATTATGTACGTTTGCTTAACACAGTCGCTTACATGCTGCGTTTTATATATAATTGTGAATTTAAGGCTAAAAGAAAAAACGGTTCAATGGATGCTACAGAACTTGCCGTATCTCGTCGAAAAATTATCAAATACATACAAATCATTTCTGAATCATGCTGAAATTGCAGCTGTACAAAAGGGTGCTAACCTTAATGCCAAAAGTCATATACAGTCTTTATCACCATTCCTTGATAATAACGATTTACTAAGAGGGGGTGGCCGATTAAGAAACTGTAATCTGGACTTCAACAGTAAGCATCCTATACTATTACCAAAGAATCACGCTTTTTCATAAAATTAATCATCATGTTGGCCCACAAACATTTCTAAGCATAATTCGTCAATCTTGTTGGCTAATCCATGGCAAGGTTATCTGTCGATCTATATGTCGAAGTTGTGTCTTATGCTTTCGTACTAATCCAACTAAACAGAACCATCTTATGGGCGATTTACCTGATTTACGAGTTCAACAATCAAGACCGTTTAATGTAATAGGTCTCGATTTTTGTGGTCCATTTCAAATATATTATGGCAGAAGCGGCATTGTTTCTACAAAAGGCTACATATCTGTTTTCATATGTTTTTGTACAAAGGCCATACATTTAGAGTTGGTAGAAGATTTATCCGCTCAAGCTTTCTTAGCTGCTTTAAGGCGTTTCATTGGACGACGTGGCCTATGCTCAGGGATTTACCGTGACAATGCAAATAATTTTATTGGTGCAAAAAACGAGTTGCATGAATTTTACAAGATGTTTAAAAGTACAGATATTATATTTAACGAATGGGAGGCTGCAGTGAACTCCACTAAATTTCATCTAAAAAGTATACTACAAGATGCGAAATTTAACCTTTTTGAATTCACCACACTTTTAATACAAATTGAAGCGGTATTAAATTCAAAACCTATCACTCCCGTGCCTGAGAGTCCAAATGACGAACCAGCTCTAACGCTTGGTCATTTTATTATTGGCTCTGCTTTAAAAACCATACCTTATCCCGACTTAAGGGATGTCAACAACGTAAGCCATTTACGGCGTTATCAAAGATTGCAATATTATCTGCAACAGTTTTGGGACAGATGGTCTAAGGATTAGACCAACCGTTGCAAAATCGCACCAAGTGGACAAAAGTTCGTATGTCATTAGCGGTTGGAGACGTTGTTGTTGTAGAGGAAGACAATCTTCCTCCTCAAAAATGGCGCCTGGGTCGTGTTACTAAAATTCATCCTGGTAATGACAGAGTTGTGCTGCTCTTGATAAAGCACCTTAACCATAAAACACCAAAAATCTTCTCACTAAATTCACACCCGCTAAGCTTTATTGCCTTGATCGGCGGAGTATCGTAAAATCGAGATATCGTATCGAGATTTTTCAGAATTTTGGTTCAATTTCAAACGGCTTTGATCAAAATCTTTCATTTTGACTGTCCAACTTGCAACCTTTTTAACTGTTTAGCTAAACATTGGCGGATCGGGTTAGCGTGACCAAAGTCACACAACTATAACGGCATTCAATAAGGAAAACGCCACAAACTTTCTCTATTATCTGATGTTATTTTTATAGTCTGTGCTATCCTATGATTCCTTGTATTCCTAACAGATTAAGTGTATAATTCATAAGACTCGTTGCGGAGAAGTGCTCAAGCAAATGTAGATGACTACCTATTGCCGAAACGAAACAAAATTCGATTTTCAATAACAACTACAAGCTGGTACCTCTTTTTCATTGAACCATACCGTTATAGGATTATGCTTCAGTCGTTCGTGACAAATATTTGCAACCTTGGTGCAGCCTATGGTTGAGTCAGGCTATAAGCCAAATGTCTGATCCTTGTTTTCCAGTTGAAATGTAAATTATTTTCTTGAATGTCTGCCGTAGTACACAATCCAATCGTATACAAATTTCTGTATTTGTACATTGTATATGTTGTTTGCCGTACATATGAAATAATTTATTTTTCATCCTTCAATATTGCTATAGGCGTAATGTATGTTGCGAGTTGTCATTATGTTGCCTGCACGAGTGTTGATTGCAGCCATCAGTGTTTGTGGAATTGTACTTGATTTAATATTGCCTATTAGCCCCGAAGGAATACGTTGTGGACGTACTCATTAATACGCGAATTGATTTTTACTTTCATGACAAAGTAAAAATGCAATGATTGCACTATATATATTGCATTACGCAACTTTTATTAAAGCATTTCATTTTTATAAGGAGAATAAAAGGCATGGAACTCCGTTTCTCTTCTCTTTCTTTAAAGCAAATTTCGCATATGCGGGAAATGATATTATATTCAACTTAAGTGCAGAGCGATATCATAAAAGTAAGCTATGTCCATAAAAATTCATATACATATGTTCAATGTGTTCAAAGGATTCGGAGAGAGGAGAAATACAGAAAAAGATAATATATAATAATTATTAAATAACAATTCATGCAAAATAAATAAGAAAAGGAAAAAAACCACATATACACAACTAGTACAGAGGCGCACTCAGTACAGAACCAAATCGCAAATGAACCGATACCGATACTGTAAACAACACTAATTAATTTTCGAAACATAGTGAGATATTAAGTTTAAAAGTTAGTTTAAATACGACAGAGGAAAATCACGCGTATTAAGCAGTTACGTTGTTTTGACAGACTTTAAAGAGTCCGATAATGAGGTTAAATGATAGACAACACTTAGGTTTCTGCAAAGAGCGCTGAACGGGTTAAACTCATAATTATGTTTTCATTGACTTAGCTTAAGGAACATGAAGTGTCTAGAAGCTCCCTAGTTATGGACATTAAAGCTTATCTCACCAAACAATGTAGACGAATCGATAGTACCATTAGTTGAGTTAATTAAAAAAGAGACACCAAGAATAAACTTACGTTCCGTAAGTGACGGTAAGGATAACAGAAGCAACTTATTTTTATAACAAGGCAAACAGACAAACGGGTCCCAATCCGTATTCCTAAGGGCAAGTAGCAAGAATTCCTTTTGAATAATTGCATCTACATAACACCTATAGGAGGGAGATGCGAGCTTATCTATTTCACCAAGTAGAAAGGGAAGCCAGTGGCCTGGAGTTTGAAGATTATTAAATTATGGTTAACTAAGTGAAACGCTTTGCTAAAATCAGTATATACGACAACCGTGCGGGAGTCACTAGAAAAAGACTTGAAAACATGCCAAGTAAATTCTAGGAGATTCGTGACTGTAAATCGTCCTTTTCGAAAGCTGCTGGAATGGAGCAATATGAGATTTCATAGCAAATCCCGGATACTGAGTAACAATTCGCTCAAACAATTTAAATATCGTCGGAAGTATTCAGCAAAAAACTTCGAGGCTTAAATACCATCAGGGTACTCAGCGCTGTTGAAAGAAACATGCGGGGGATGTAAGGAGATTTTTCTTTTGGAATTGACAAACTTAAAAAAATACCTAGCATTAAGAAGCAGTGGGGGTTTTATCAATTGCAGTTATTCGCCTTAATATTGATGGTTGAGGTAATATGTATAATTTATGTATGATTTTTCTATAAATATGCAGCGCTGTTGCATCGCAGAACATTACTGTGCGAATACAATGTATTTTTAATACAAAAAACTCAAATTAAATGAGCCGATAGTCTGTGTTGCTAGTGCTCAATGTCTTTCTTTTAGTCTAAGAATTCAATTCAATAGTCTAAAATTAAAATAATAATAATAATAATAAATGATTTTGAAATCGATTTGATGGAAATGAATCATTCCCCAAAAATGATGTATTTACTCCGCCGTGAATATACACAAGTCAACTCTTGTGACATTTGACTCTTAACATATAGAAAACATTGTACGCCAAATCTCGTCATCAGAAAACTAATCGTGAGCTGTTCCCTATCTTGGTACCAGAGGATGCCATAGGGCAAGTCTAGGTTAATATTATCGTAGAAGAAAGCGCTGCAACATTTTGCAACTGAAGTCAGAGCTGAAAGCCTTGTTCGCAAAACCGAGCTCAGAACGGTTATCATTACAGCTAACCGAGACATCTTAATTTCCGATTGGAATACCATTAACAAACTTCTTAGTCGCATTACTCCCTTGCGAAATAAGCGGTAGACCGAATAGGCAAATCAGCGTGGCCATCTCTAATTAATAATCGAGCAATGAAGAAAATTGACCTTCAGCATTTGAAAGAGAAAATTGGCTAAACATTTGCAGGAATTCTTGTTGGGCTTACCATAGCACGTCCATGGCTTCTTAAGTAATCCGCTCTGCCAAAATCTTACTGTGGTTGTTATAATTATATAACGAAATAAACAAATAAACAAATAGTAATAGTACTTTCCCAAAAAATTTTTATTCACGTCGAAGTAAAAGTAAAAGGTTCTCTCAATTTTGTGTGCGTATCAGTTTGAGGTGTTCTTTTAGTTTCAATGCAAGCTGGTGTAAATCTGTAAAGAGTCAGAGGAGATGATAAATTTAGCATCGAACTATTTTTAAAAACTTATATCGGGATGTTGGCTTGCCAAGACGGAGGCCAGTTCGAACTGACGATATTTGTCCTTTTTTCCTTTTTTTAATGATCAACCACTCAGGGGATGTCCTCTAACCGTCAGAAGGAAAAGAAAAAGGGGTAAGAAATAGGGAAAGCAGTCGCAGCTAAGCGGCTATGTACCCAATTTGTAAGTGTTGTGCCTTTGCCTACTAAGCACAATGTAAGTTGACCTGATTGTTAGTAGTTGGAAGTTAAACACGTTTATCGAACTTACCACAGAGTGTTGCTAAAAAGAATACCCATGATGTTATGACTAAGCCCAAGTTTTCGCTGAAGACCTGGAAATTAGATCCTCACCCCTACACCCACACTTATAAGAGAAAGATACTAGCACATTTTAAGTTTTCAAGCATATATTCAAAGTGAGCACTTATTAACAAAATTTGTATACTATGCTGAAGAAAGTTTTAATTTAAGAAATCATTTTAGTTGTGCT